CACCGTAGAAACATGGCGGTGTAAGGGGACCCACGGTGTGTGTAGAGAGAAATGCTCATATTAAGGTAATAAAAACATAACAGTTTATTATGTACGGTATATATACACCACTGAAAACACATGTTTATGTTTATGATATTGCATTTCTGTCAACAGATCCTCCTAAATATTACACACTGCACCTTTAAAGGCATAGTATGTTTGTTGATCAAATTGTATGCGAATAAAAGCCTAAATTCAATCTGTTCATCATATAAAGCGATCGGGTCTCTTCTAAAATTTGGACTTAAACACTAAATTCATATGGATTAGTTTAACTCTCTCTTTATTAACCTTTAGAAGCGTCATTTGTTTAAAGTCCTCCTGTAGTCAATCATTTTATCCCTTAAACTCAACTTTGATCACCAAAATGACATTTAAATGTTTTTTTCCTTGAAAAAAATCTTCATGCCTTAAAATATCTTGACTGTAACTGGACACCCTTGCCTCATTTAGTATATGCGGTTCTATGCAAATGAGCCCCGCCTCCACTCACTCACTCAGCTCAGAGATCCACTGGTTGACGATCACACGTTGATCTGATTGGTTACAAGGTCGTTTGTGACGTCAGAAACACCAGCGATTTCAAACCGTGTTTTTGAGACTGTCTTTGGTTCACTGCAGTTTTAAGCAGAAAATACTCAGCAATGCTGTCGACTTATGAATTTACACGATTTGTCTTAAAGCATATTAAAAACACCACATAGACACAAACAACATTAAAAACTGGATTTTCACCACAGGGGGACTTTAACTTTTGATAGTGTTACTATTGTATTGTGGGATACAGTGCATACGACACATGTAGCTATTTTTATGCATACAGAACATCAGCATAATGTGGCGTTCTGAAGCACGTGTCGCAAGTTTTGCTGTTGAACGTGTCCGTACTGACCTTCACTGCAGGCCTTCTCTAAAGTCTTCACCACGACACCAGACGACCTGGACATGCACGTCATCTACGACGTCTCGCACAACATCGCCAAGGTGGAGGAGCACATGGTGGACGGCAAACAGAAGACGCTGCTCGTGCACCGGAAGGGCTCGACACGGGCGTTTCCACCACACCATCCGCTCATACCCGTCGACTATCAGGTGTGTGAGCAAACCTTTATTCAGACTCCTTCAACATTTCTCACATTATCAGTTTATTCGCTATAGTTCAGAAAATGGTAATAAAAATGACAAGTTATGAGCCGTCATACACAACAAACACACACACGGCTTATGAAGACAAAACCTCATTATATATTAAATATAGTCAAAACAAAATGTATTCAGACACCTTCAACATTTCTCACACCTTCAACATTTCTCACATTATCAGTTTATTCGCTATAGTTTAGGAAGTGGTGATAAATATGAGCAGAACTCAGTGGATATTCGACTGGTTTAGTCCGTCCTTCTGTTAGACTCTCACACATGAGTTATGTTGAATATCTGTCAGCTGTTAAATTTAACTACACAATTAGATAATACCAGTTTAGCTCAACCAGTGACCAAGCAATGCTTCATGTTGTTCAGTCTGTGTGTAAAAATAGCATTAGCAATTAAAACATGATCAGCTCAAAATGTCTGAATAAGATTTGGTCACAAATGTTACTGGTAGTCACTGTATGAAGAATATTTGGGTATAATATGTCAGTTTACTTTATTTTGCTCTCCTCACTTACATAAATGAACTATAGTGTCCTGCACACACGAGTAAAAAAATATTAAAATTATATCTGGTGTCTGAATCATTTTTGGTTTGACTATGAACCAAATCAAACAGGAAATCAAAACTGCTTTTATTTAAATTCTTCTTCCTTGTGAATGTGCAAAACCTTCTTTCTTCCTTCTCAATGTTTCTTGGTCTCCTTCAGCTGACGGGTCAGCCGGTTCTGATCGGGGGAACCATGGGCACCTGCAGTTATGTGCTGACGGGCACCGAGCAGGGCATGACCGAGACGTTCGGCACCACGTGTCACGGAGCGGTGAGCGACCTGAGGAAATGTTGCAGCGATTGTAACACTAGCTTACATGTCAAGTCACAATATAGATAGGTTGACATACACCCATTTATTGCTATATTTTCAAAATGCCATAATCATGTGTTAACAAACAAGTATTCATTACTTAAATGAGCTCATTGTATCAGCATTAAATTATTACATTGTTTAAATTAATACATTTTTAGCTAACTGTGTATATGTACATTTCTGAAATACTTAACTTAGACCGTTTCCTCTGATAACAGATCGCTCTAAATTGTAATATGGACTCATGCACTTCTTTCTGTAAAGCTGCTTTGAAATGAAGTCTATTGTGAAAAGCGCTATACAAATACATGTGAATAGAATCGTTTCAAAGCAGCTTTACAGTGATAATAGGAAATTAAAGTAACAGATTGTTTTATTCACTTCTTTTTTTTTTACAGCAGCTCTAGAATAAAGTTAGTTTTTGATTGATTCACTTCCATTGCAAAGATCATTAGTTATTAACTTAGTGGCCGCTAACACGCATGTGTTTAGTCTATAGGTATGCGGATTTGAATGTCTGATGTGTGTTTGTGAACGCTGTAGGGTCGAGCTCTATCCAGAGCCAAATCCAGACGCAACATAGACTTCCAGGATGTTCTGGATAAACTGGCAGACATGGGCATCGCCATTAGAGTCGCGTCACCAAAGCTGGTGATGGAGGAGGTGAGGCCGTTACTCTCGCTGCACATTTAGTGTTTTTATTTAATTTAAATTAAGGATCCAAAACCACGGAAAAAAACGATATATTTTATTAGAATTATATTTGATGTATTAAGCCATGTCAGCAACAAGGCTATTTTCATGGCGAAAACAGAAACTAAATTCATACAATTAACAATAGACATTTCTGGTTATTACAAGATATATATATTCTAATACATTCAGGTGATACTTTCTTTTAAAATGCATCAGTTAAACACAAATTAAATATTTAATTTAATTATACCACTAAATGGTCACACATTATTCTTTTGTTTTGTTTAACTGTTAACTATCATTTATAAGTAGATTTAGTAAAGTCTACTCCAAAGAGCAGAAACAGTCGTTTTATTTCTTTAGATTTGTACGACTTATTTTCCTTTCAAAATCACAATAAAATGCATTGAATAATTTAATATATTTAATTATATTTTAAGGTGCTTTGTGACCTTATTTTGTGCAATTTAAGCTAGTAGAGTAGCGTTAAATCAGCAGTTTGCTTTTTCTTTTAAACAACACTTCATATTTTCGTTTTTGTTTTTCAATAATCATTCTAGAATAAAACTCATTAAATATTTATGCTATTCAATTTGTTTTGTGACCTAAATGGGAATAAATTTGAATATCTGATATCATTCCAGTTTTGTTTAACTGTTAAGCTTAACTCTTATTAGTGGATTGAAGAACCGATTAAGTAGAATAGCCATTAAAGTGGAAGTTTCATCGGTTTGTATTGTTTTAAAGGGGTCATGACATGAGAAATCAAATTTGCCTTTATCATTTGAAATATAAGAGGTCATTGTACCATTAAAACATCCTCCTCATCACAAATTGCAAGTAAATGATTTTATAATGCTTCGTCTGTAAATTACGGTTTTATATGGATAAGTTTCCTATGCAGAGACAATCAATCATAACAGTGGCTTGTTTTCAAACAGAGGGTCAGAATGAAGATTGAAAATAACATGTTTTCTGGTGCAAAAAATATTTAACATTAGAAGTGAACCTCAAGGAACATTAAAGCAATGTCATGACCTCTTTAATCAACCAATTTTAAGCATTTAAATCACAATGCATGCTTTTAACACGTGTTGTCGTCTTGCATATCAGGCTCCTGAATCCTACAAGAACGTCACCGATGTGGTGAACACGTGCCATGACGCCGGCATCAGTAAAAAGGCCATCAAGCTCAGACCCATCGCTGTGATTAAAGGTTAAAACATCATGACGAAGGCGGAGAAAGGCCTTGCATACTGAACGCAATCCGTTTCCTATGGCGTTAAAGACTGAAGATTCGATTGCATCAAATATTTCTGCACTTATGAAGGTGGAGTGGCTCAAGTCAGCCTTATTTTTGTTTCGTTAAGGGTTAAAGGTAAAAAGTTTGAGCTGAAAATGTCAAATAATTTGTTAAATCAGCACGTTCTCTGTTGGTCAGAATCGACTACAGCTGCAAAGAAAACTGAGATTAGTAAATACTTTATTGGTCATGACAAAAGATCCACAAAAGGGAGTGAGAGGGGCGTGTCCCAGCATATCAAAAATAAATCAAGTTTACAGTCTACCTTTCATGTTTCTCTCCTCTTATTTGGCATAAACACAGTGGGCTTGACGAGCAGGACTGAGTAACAGGTGTGTGTTGGGTAAATCACAGCAAGTCTGAAGCAAAGACTCATGGATTATGAGAGAAACAATCTTTAACAGTCATTCTAATATATTTCAGTTCATGCATTTCAAAGTGCTTCATCCATTTATATTGGGATACCTTTTCCCCCATCATGATTCTCAAGCATTAAAGCCAGTGTGATTTAAGTTGAATCGGCCCCAAACTTTCCATGTGTCCTTTTGATGGGTTTGTATCTGAAGTGGGATCCAGGGATGAAAGGGTTAATACATGTGCAGTGTCTCACGAAATCCAACACAGATTGTCAAAAATGTCATTCTAACACAAGAGGCTGACGCAAATGCACGTCAGATAAACTCAATGATGAGAGTTTAAATTAAATTTCCCAACAAAATGATTCCTAGCAGCGTAACCCAACCGAAACATTCACACTGCAGATCCAAGGATCAAACCACCTCGTAGTATTTTCACAGTCAGTAACATTACACGTATTGCATATTTCAAATGGGCTTTAAAGGCATTGAACGACAGCGAATCGCAAGACTGTGACGGAGCGGATTAACAGTTAGTGTTCAGTTTGTTCTGAAACGATATGCAGTTACAGTACAGCTTTTGTGGGAATGCCGTAGTACACGTTATTTATGGGAAAACTGGGGGATTGCTGATAAATTAGCAGTTTATTAACAATTGGAGGGGGAAAAAAAAAACACTGAAAATAAATGCAAAGACCTAAAATGATTTGCCAGGTTGAACCCACATCAAGAGCACTTCCATTTGTTAACCTCGTCACGTCAAACTAAAACCTATGCTTCATTTCTGGAAGTTAAAAAAAAATTTATTAAATTAAATCGGCCCTTCTTAAGCTGAAAGTTGAGAAAATCCGGATTTCTCAAGCGCACACAAAAAAAATAAACATTTCATTAAATTCATTCTAGTAATTTTCTGTAACATTTCCAAACAATTAGCATTTTTTTCCTGCCTATTTCAATGGAAAAGCATAAAACTCGTGACTTTCCCTTGAAATTCTGTCCAGGACTGAAGCCCCGCCCACCCTCACAAACCCCACCTACTCTCCGTCTCGTCCAATCGCAGACCAGTCCAGGTGGCTGAACCTCCAATGGAGAGCACAACTCTGATTGGGCCAAGGTCAGTGTGGGGGCGTGGTCACTGTCACGTGACAGCCAATCCCTACGTGACTCCTGTTGGGGGTCCGTGTCCGTGGTTAAGCTTCTTTAAGTGCAAAAGTAGCTCCTATGCTAAGCTCTGTCATTATGGTGGTCTGTATGTGGCGTCGACTGCCGAGCCCCTGATACGCTCCGCTTGACAATTCCAGTTTTAAAGTTTGGCCTGCTGGAAGAAAACCTACACACACACACACACAGCATGTTAAAACAGTAACATCTAACATTTAATGATCTCTGAAAACAACATGAATGAAGTGTTTCAACCATGAATCCCCTGAAATACCTTCATGTAGTTCTTCAGAACCTTAACGTCCGGCTGCTGAAGCACTTGACACAGTTCCTAAGAAGAAAAAGTTTAAATAAATCAGATATTTGCCATCATAATACTGCACTTCCACAGCTTTCTTTTAGAAGGCTTGATATTTAGGACTAATACCATCAAATACAGGTGAAATTTGAAAGATTAGAATATTGTGCAAAGTTAATTTCAGTAATTTAACTAAAAGGTGAAACTAATATATTATATAGACTCATTACATGCAAAGTGAGATATTTCAAGCCTTTATTTGTTATAATTTTGATGATTATGGCTTACAGCTTATGAAAATATTTTCACAATATTCTAATTTTGTGTTCCATGTTGCAAAAACTCACAGGGCCCTACCCTTCCTAAAACCTTGTTTTCATCAAATGAAGCGCAAATATGTACTTAAAGCGTGTCATTTCATCACCTGTGTGATCTCAGGCGAGACCTGCAGCGACGGCAGATACTCCTGAAGAAACTGAATACACTCCGGCCCCTGTGCAAACACCAGACATCAAGCATTAAATACTAAGTAACTATAGTTATTGTTATTAATCAGCGCTGTGTTTTCCCTAAAAAAGACTCACTCTTTTGAGATGAATCATTTGCAGAGTCAGTGTGCACTCTGACAGCGTCTGTAACAGAAGAGCAAATCATTACAAATCATCATTTATATTTAATACAAGCGGTGTATTAAAGCCTCGTCTTACTTACCAGAACCGTCTGGGCATCTGAAAGGTCAAAGGTTGGTTTAAGAGGGGCCATGAAGCATGCTGGGACGATATGCTTGTAAATGAAATCTGGAAATCCCACCAAACCGTCTTTGCCACCTGAGAAAGAGAACACGTTAAAAGCATTATTTATATATACTACTATAGTTATGTTCATATTTAGAATTAGCTTTTATTTTTATATTTACAGTTTTCATTTTTAGTTTATTTCTTTATAATTTTTTTACAGTTTTAAATTAAATTAATAAACTCTAATCTAAAACTTAAATTAAAATAAACTAAACAAATAATCATTTAAAAAATATTTTACAGTAATTAGTAATTTTACTGCTTCAACTTAATCAGTTGGTTTCAAAATTTTTAGTTTATTCATTTAATATTTATATTTTATTTCAGCTTCATATCAATAAACAAAAATATTTGTAATCATTTTAGTTAATAAACCTGGTTAAAAGTCAAGATGCAGCCTGAACCCATCTATTTTAGTTTTTTTATTACATTTTTATTAATATTTCAAATTATCTTTAATTTATATATTTTTTGTTTTCATGTTAATTTATATATATATAATTTGAAAATTAACTAATATTTATATTTTATTTAAATTCAGCTTTATTTCAGTTAACAAATGTTTTTCAGTTTTAGTTAACGATAATAACCCTGGCCTAAAGTCACTGTTCACATGAATCTGCTGTGCTTATTTCCAGATACTTTACACACGTCATCCAAGATGTTCATGTCTTTCTTTCTTCAGTCGAAATTAGAAATGAAGGTTTTTGAGGAACACACTCCAGGATTTCTCCATATAGTGTCTTCAATGGGGTCCAACGGGTGGAAGGTCCAGATGTGAGTTTCAGTGCAGCTTCAAAGTCTCGACTCGATCCCAGCCGACGAATAAGAGTCTTATCTAGCGTTCATTTTCAAAAAAATAAATAAATAATTATATACTTTTTAACCACAAATGCCCATCTGAGATGCGCCACGCGTGACGTAGTCGGAAGTACCGACCCAGTGTTTACAAGTTTGGAGTAGGAGGACCATTCAAAGTTATTGTATGTTGAATCACACATTTATATGCATTTGTGTCAGTTTATTGTTTAAAATGGTCCTTACGTGTGTATATCCTGGATGTTTAATGATGTCACGCGTGACCTTTCCAAAGTGATGACGTAATGCGTCAGAGAAATGGTACAAGACGGGCATTTGTGGTTAAAAGTATATAATCATTTATGTATTTATAAAATGGCCGCTGGTTTGTCTAGATCAGACTCTTATTCCTCGGCTGGATCGAGTCGAGACTTTGAAGCTCCACTGAAACTCACATCTGGACCTTCCACCCGTTGGACCCCATTGAAGACACTATATGGAGAAAGATCCTGGAGTGTGTTCCTCAAAAACCTTCATTTCTTGACATGAACATCTGGGAGTAAATTATCAGGACATTTGTGACCCGATCTGGCGAAATGAGTCGGAAGTCGCAACGTTCTATTTTAAGATATGGGCCGATTATGTTGAAAAACAATGAAATAATAGATTTTTTTTTTTTTGCTAATTTCAAAGAACAGACATTCAAAAATAATCTCCCAAAGTTTCGTTGTCCAGATAATTGAGTAAAGGTATTTAAATTACTATTAAAGTGTACAAAGTTTTACTAAATTCGCTGGAAATGAACATTGCTTTTCTCAACTCCTCTCGTCACCTCTGAGCATTTCCCGGGTATCCCCTGAAACGTCACTATCTCTGCTCTTTAAATGGTGTTACACGTTGTATAGAACCAATCAAAAAGCTTAGAAATGTACACAAATGCTGATCATTTGTCAATGGGAAGCCGTTTCGACTGACCGGCACGCGATTGGTCCAGCCCCCCTCCTGTCAGACTCGCAGCGAGCGCTCTGTGTAATAAACAAGCTAGCAGATCTCCTCAGAAAGATTAAATATTATTAATTTGAGAAATATCGCTGTCAAAAGCGAGCAAAGTTGCCAAAGCGTCATCAAGCCCCCTGGCCATTGCACACTGAGTCCTCGTTTTTTTCGTATGCGTTTTTTCGTATTGATTCGGTGACTCCGAATTGTCAAAACACCATTCAAACTGCTTGCTACGGATGCGAAAAACGTACGATTGTTTTTATATAGCAGCTAACGGATGAAAGTAACGTAGTGTGCACGCGTGATTGACATAACGTGATTGACAAATGTGAATGAGTGTAGCTATTTATCTGCAAGGAGAATCCATTAATGTGTTTGATTAACCCAATATTTAACGGTTGGTATCTCCGTTATGAATTTGTTACGCTGTTATTGTCAACTAGCCTACACAATATGATTGCATTGACTAGCATTATTTGATCTGTTTCCTTGTCTCTCTGCCTCTCACTTTCTCTCTCTCTCTCTCTCTCTCTCTCTCTCTCTCACACACACACACACACACACACAGACACACACACCCTCTCTCTCTCAAGCAAAAATGTAGCACCTCTGTTCAATCTTTCTGATTTTAGTACATTTTTGTAAAAGGTAGGCCTACTGTTAAATTATTTATTCAAATAAAAACTTTTAAAATAATTTGAGCTTCAGCCTGGTTTAATAGCATTTATATATTAATGTCTTTGGTCAAATTAAGCTGTAAAATAAATAGTTTATCCCTTTAAATGTAATGGATTTTGAAAGATATCAACAAAAAACGGGCAAAAAAACTTTAAAAGCGATTTTCTCAGGTTTTCAATTGGAAAAAGAGGGCAGACGACCATAATTCAAATGTGTATATCTTTACAACCATTCAAGGTATGACTTTGACTAGGATATCAATTGAAAGCTTATGGTCTCATCTTTCCATTAATACCAAAATCTAAATTTTTAAATTTGGGTCACTGTGACTCATTTTGCTGGATCAGGTCACATTTTGATTTGAAAGTGAACTTCTCCTTTAAAGCCTCAGTGTTTTCCGTACCCCAGAGTTCCACCAGTCTGGACAGAATAATGAAGCATGTCTTCTGGGCGACAGGGTCTGGGAAGTCCACGGCTCCCTGGATGATGGTGAACAGCACACGCTCGATATTCTCAGCTCCTGCCGAACACAAAGCGTTTCAGTCAGTTCATGTTTTCAGGCACACAGGTTCGTTTGGTGTGTTTTCTGAACAGGAGTGTGTTTACCGTACGACGACGCTGCTTCACTACTATAGTACGATACATCGTTAAAGAAATCATTTAGCTAATCACGACACATTTAGCTTGTCACAAATCGCTAGTTCAACCACGTCGGTTAATGATGTCACGCAGGTGATGGAGTAATAACTACTGTTAATGAATCTGTTTGAGATCGAATTCATGCGAGATGTCTTGCTATATATTACAGACACAGCATCTAAAGACTCTCATATTTTATTTGCTTTATTTCCAGATTCAATCATAAGCTGTGTCCCAAATGACGCACTATGTACTCAACCGTGTACTTTAAATGTTTATTTTGTCTTTCAAAATCGGAGTCTGATGCCAAAAGCACTTTTCCTCTTCGGTCCCCCTACAGGTCGGAAGCGGAATTGTCCATTACCGCTGTCATAAATAATTTAGCCTACCGCAGCCTAGCATCGCACACACGCTATTTGTTTATCCAGCTTTCAATACGAAAGCTTCCTGGCCGCTAGGTATCTTCCATTTATATGTACCTGCCGAGTACGCTCCACCCAGAGCCTTGCTCCACCTATCGGCTATTGTAACGCTTGCCGTAAAGCAAGTCAAATTTGTAGTTTCTTACGTCTCATTCGGACTACAGATCCGCTACCCGATCTGGCAAACTTGCATAGTGCGGTTATAGCCGATAGAGGGCGGCAAAGCGAATGAAGTGCCGTTCACCCTGTTACGAGTTGATGAACCACTGAAACGATTTTGGAAACATTGTTTTAAGGTACAAAAGAATCTTTGGTGTTGCTTTAAAGCTGCGACAGTCGAGTGCATGACGTGACCAACGTTCCACACTTTGTTTTTTCGGTTAAATAAGTGCATCATCCGGTTATTTAAAGTGCACTCTTTCTTTTCAGGATGTTCAGTGTGAACGCATGCACTACTCGCACTATTTATACTACAGAATGGTGTAGAATAGTCCACAAGTACGCGATTTGGGACGCACCTAAAGGCTCGTTCGCACATGCGCACTCTTCAAAAACAGTGCTTTAAATCTCTTGACAAACTAAAAGACGTGAATGACATTTGTATGTATTCTAAATAAAAGATACAGAATGTTAACTTGCTTATTTGGCTCAAGATAAAGATTTATTAAGTCCAAATGTTATAAAAACAAAACTCTTGCTTCTAACCACAGGTCTAGTCGTTCCAAACACACAACTCTGCGATGTGGTTTGCGAATGTTCGTTGGAACGATGGTTTCGGGAAACACCGACTCGTTAAACTGCTGATAACGAACGAACATAGTTGGCTAACGATGGTTTTGGGAACAGCAGTGGCGTCTCACCCTGACTGGCCATGACCTCGTTCATGCCACTGCTGGCGATGGTCTGAATGAAGCTGAAGTAGCTTCTTCTCAACATCTGCTTCTCCAGCGCAGCCGTCTGATCGTTCTCCTCCGCTGGACGAGACAACACCTCGAATATGGCCATCACCAGAGGCATGAAGATCTCCTGGAGGAAAGGAGACACCTGGTTCTGGGAGGAAAACAGAGTCCATTACAGTTATGTTATTAAGGGTCCTAAAATCAGTTCACTTCAGTATGCATTCAGATACACATGTATAGGGATGGGCATCGTTAAGAAATTATCGATATCGATGCCATTGTCAAGTCTGCTTATCGATGCGATTCCTTATTGATTCCTGTACTATTTGCTGAACACTTACAGGGTGGCTTTGAGAGTTGTTGGCTTTGAATGTCTAATTTAAAGTGGTTTTAGAGAATGAAAACCAAGTGTGCAATATCTAGGGCCCTATGAAATCAGTTTTATTTTTCCCAAATTCCGTTTAAATTTTTGGGAATTAATTTTTTTTTTACCCTTTACTGTTATTTTAGTCATAAAAAGAGTGTGCTTTAAAAGTTAATGATTAAAATGTATACAAATAAAATAGGAATGACCTTAAATTACAGACATTTACCGAGTAGCCTTTTCAGGACAAATACTGCATGATGCCACATGACACTGCACTCTTCAAGTAACAACAAAATATGGTTATGAGCTTTAAACTTTCCAGTAAAATAAATTATATTAGTTTATATAAGTTTAAATAAGTCACACTCTGTCTCTCTCTCGCCCAGTGTTGCTCGCGGAGTTCGCTTCGCTTTTGTCCAGTCCGGCGCCTCATAGACAGACGCGGTGTGTGTGTGTGTGTGCGTGCGTGTATGTGAGAGAGACGCGTGAGTGATAGAGAGATGGAGGGAGAGCGGGGAAAGGAAATACAACGGAAAGAATACGCTGCGTGTTTTAAATAGCATAAAAAAAATGAACGAAACGCAATATGTGGCGGCCGGAGTTGATTTTGTGGCCGCGAATTAGTCTATGTGTGGGAAACACTGCATAAAAGTCACGTGTGAACTGCTCGGCTCGGTACTGAGGGCTTATAGCGTCGAGTTTCTTAACTTTTTCGCCGAGGAAAGCAGAGCCGTGGAGAGCCGCTTCGCCATGCTTTCATTGTTTTGATGCCGTCATTGGAGCTGAAATGACGGGAGGGGTTGTGTCGCCCAGATTTGCTTCCCCCGGTCTGCATTTAAAATGAAGCCACACTCTCGATCGTTTACGTCTCGTAGCCATCGCACTTTTGGGGGCTTTAAAAATCCAGTCGCATACTGTAACGTCATGCCGCGACGCGGGAATGGATGGATCGGAACGTTTGGAACCGGTTCCAAACCGGTACCTGGAACCGATTCCCAAGCCTACACATGTAGACATTACAAAATATTAGTAAAGTTTTAGCATTTCTAGGTTTTTCTATGTGTACTGAAGCATTCCATTCATTCCTATGGGGGTCAAATATTTTTTCAAAGGATTTGTTACTTTTTTTAAATTGCAACCACAAAACTCCTCGAACCCATTCAATTATTTATTTTGTGTGTATTCGTGGTTCAAGTATAACCCCTCTGATTTTTTAAAAAACTTTTTATTGAACTTTTCTTATAAACAGTGAGTAATAAAAAAACAACAAATTAAAACAAATAAACTTAAAATAAATACACAAATCCGTGACAGCGCTTCAGATAATACACCACACACCAGTACATCATCTGCATTGTTCAAACATTAACATATATTAAGTGAATTTTTTTTTCAAATTTTAGAGTTTCGGGTCAAAATGACCTGCGAGAGAAGGTTTATGTGGATTATTCGTGCAGTCCTACCTTAAACTTGGCTGTGATCTGACTGATGAGAGGAATGAACTCCTGCAGGTCTCGAGGCTCGCAGTCCTTCAGCATGTGCTGCGACGCCGCAGGGATGAAGGGCAGCACCTCTTCCTCCAGGCAGATGATCATGCGGTGGATGAAGGAGCGGACGGCGCTGCGTAACGGGCCTCGCTGGACGGGACAGCTCAGCGCCGGCAGGACCGTCTGCAGGCAGTCCAGATAAACCTCCGAGCAGCCGCACTGCTTCACCGTCTGCTTATTACTGAACGCCTTACTGGTGCGACTGAGGAAGAGGAGCAAATCACTGGAAATACTGGACAAACCAGTAAATGTCCTTGGACACTGAGTCTAATATACAGGTTTGTGGCTCTTAAGTTTACAAGTGGTTAATTATTAAAAATAAATTATGTTCACTGTGCTTTTTTATAAATATAGGATTTGTATTAAATTTATATTCATTGAGTCGAATCGATAGCCGTAGAGCTGGGTGATATATCAAATACTTGTCTTGCAATGATTTTAAGTTGGTCTGTATTTGGACAAGCTTTTTTAGGTAGCGCCAACTCATGTCATGAACTAAAACAGCATCTCTTATACAGTAGTAAACATTTGAAGTGGATCAAAACCTTTCAAAGTTATACATGAATTTTGAAACAATACCCGTTCTTGTCTTCGACAAATTTTTTTTATCCACTTCAAGTGTTGACTACTGTATTTAGGGATGCGCCGATACCGATAACTCTTTATGTTTGAAAGCCAATAACCGATGTATTGGCCGATAAATCTAAATCCAATTTTTATAATAATTTTTGAGAGCCTGATTACAAAAACAAAAGTCATGTCCCAAACACACAATTGACCTATGGCTAAGCCACGCCCCCTCCACTCACTCGGACACACAGTCAACATTCGGTGACAGGCGCTATGGCAGCCGTCACAGTAGGAGACATTTCACAGGAGGCAATTGATGATTTTTGGAGACAGAAAGATTATATATCATCTCGAAGTCACTAAAAGGGTCTTAACTATGCATTGGAGGGTTATATTAATAATTTTATTATTGAGAAGGACGATGAAAAGCTTCAGCTCGAGGCAAAAATGTACAGGTCACAGTGTAAACTACATACGTTTCCAGGACAAGCCTTTTTACCATCTTTACCAAGAGTACCTCTCCGTTAGTTTGGTGCTACAGTGATTACATGAATCATTCAGCACAACATTGCGAACATTTGTTATCTCGGTTATTTACAGATATGTTAATGAAGCTACATGATGTACAACGCAGCTAGAAGCTAACGTTAACCTTTTCTAAAGTTAGGCTAACGTTACGTTAGAGATGTTAAAGATAACGTTCAAACACGTTGTTGACTTAACGTTACCTTAGAACAGATTTAGAAATCCTTGTGTAGTTGCACGCATTTATCCACGTTTAGTTGGTGTTGTGGTCTACCTCATAACTTAATCCAGAGCAGACACTTATCTCAGTTGAGATGTTTGGGAAACGGTCAAAAATACACACCGTCGCCCAGCCTCTCGGGACACCTAGTGTCGGAGTTGCATGTACCCCATGCACACCGTTTGACCATTTTAAACTTAAAATGATAAGCAAAAACATAAAAACGAATGAAAACTCACTAACTGCAATGCATTTCAATTAGGGATGGGCATTTTTCTAAAATATTGCATTCGAATATTCGGGCTCATAAAAATCGAATATTCGAATATTCGTTTATTTAAATGACATTTAACGAAAAAGACGTTATTTTTTAAGTTGAATTTTTTTTACGTTTTTGTCACCATTTCTGAACACGCTTACAATTAGGCAATATACACAACAAGCTTACAATATATGTTAAAGTTTTCTTTTAGTTGAAAACATTAAACAGTAGGCCTATGTGTAAACAAAAAATATAAAAAACAAAAGCATGCTCAAGCAGCGCGAACGGGAAAAAACGCCTATAAAAAGCAGATTGCGCCAGATATCGTACAGAACGCACACACACACTCAGCATATGATTATCGTGTTTATATTGTTTCACGTTTATATTGAGAAAAACGATATCCACATGCAGGGGCGCCGCCAGCAATTTATGCTCGAGGGAGAAAAGGCGCTTCGCTGACAGACGCTTCAGAGACACACAGATAACGGTGTTCTAAGTTTCTAACAGCGCTTTGCCTTTTCTGTTCTTAAACCGGTCTCCCTCAACGAAACTTAAAGGAAGTATACGTCTCAAAATCATTTTGCTATAAGATAAGTTATCATTTCGGATCACGCGGGGTCCAGCTGCGCTTACCTGCAGTCATGAATGCAGTGATGGACAGCTGTCTTTCCTCATTCGACTGTTTGGATTTCATCATGTGATTTCTCATTGTGGTGATGATATTATAACTCAGATTAATTAATTAATTTGATCAAAAGTAATTCCATTTAGTAAGATCATTTTCAAGTAATTCCAAACTTTGCGAGGCAGACGACAATATTATGTGATCAAATACACACAACTTGTTAACACACTCCACAGCGCCACCCAGTGCATTTAATTATAATTGCGAGTTAGTGCTTGTGATTTATCATGGATTCACTGCATTTACGGCCAGCAAAGCAACGTAGTAAAATTCGAATAGTATTCTATTTTTCGAATAATAATTACAGATCGAATATTCGAATATTCGTGCACATCCCTAATTTCAATGGACGTGGAAGCAGAGAATGTCCGAGTGTATTGGGTTAGCTATGCGGACTGTGATTGGCTCATCACGTTTGGGGGCGTGGCTTAGCCATAGGTCAATTATAAATGACGTTCTCATGATAATTTTATGTAGCCGATATCACATATTTGAGTTGCACTTAACTGCATTTTCCTTTTGGATTCCAATCATATTTCAAGCAAAAACATTTAAATGTCATTTTGGTGATCAAAAATTAGTTTTAAAGAATAAAATTATAGACTACAGGCAGACTTTAATGCACTGTGATTAAAAAACAGGGGGATTATGGTGATACCTATTAGTTCCACCAGTGGTGTCTTGCCTTAAACCACTATAAAAGTTTGATTTATTTTTGCAAATCAGTTCAGCGGTGTGTGTGTGTGTGTCAGCGTGCGTTTACCTGGCAAACCCCACCGCGTGACTCAGACAGTCCGCCAGCGCCACCTGTCTCTCTTCATCGCCCTCCTGTGGCAGTTTCGCGAGTAGCATCCGAAACGCCTCCATTAGCGGCGTGAGAAGGCTTCGCATCAGAGCCTGTTTGCGTTCGGCCGGACTCTCTCCGTTCACGATCAACACGCCGGCCGTCTCAAACATGAACAGCTGGTCATCGTTGCTGAGCAGCGCTGGAAACCCATTCTCCTGGAGAGACAGAGAGAGACGACACATAAAGTAGACGTTTACGGCATGTTTAAACGCAGCTGAATGATTTTTATAAGCCGTTTTACCGGGGGAGCGAGTTCTAACAGGTCCTGTATTCTGCTGAGTATGTCCTCAATAAACGCGTTCATGTGTTTACTGCACAAATAAACAAGAGAGAGTATTATTAGATGATGCAAACTCTGAATCAACATGCACCAATGCTACACTTTTCTGTCATAATCATTGGTTAACAAACAGGTATTCATTACTTCAGTGAGCTCATTGTTTCAGCCTTAAATTATTACATTGTTTAAATTAATACATTTTTTGCTAACTGTGATTTGCATATGTACATTTCTGAAATGCATAACTTAGATAACAGGTCACTCTAAATTGTAATGTGGACTCGTGCACTTTCAGTAAAGCTGCTTTGAAATTAAGTGTATCGTGAAAAGCGCTATACAAATAAATGTGAATTGAATATTAACATTGATAAAATGTATGCATTTAATGTACTGTAAAATCCTGTCAAAGGTAACATTTACTAGTGATGCACCTACACGGACATTTGATTTATTCTTTCCATTTGTCTGCTAAAATTGCGGCAGTATATATTTGAGCTTCCTTTGCATCTTATCGTGCTTGAATTTAAAAATTCAAAAGCACTTGAATGAATGAGAGCGTGATCATATAGTGTAACGGATGCTGTGTTTGCATGCGTGACTCACTGCAGGGTTTTGATGAACCGTGAGAACAGGTAAGCCACTCGACTGCGCACCTTCGGACTGCTGTGCCTCAGACCACGCTGGTCTAAAAACGCCATCTGAACACAAAACAAATCTCTCAAAACTCAGGTCAAACTAAATCTGCACCACCCTCACATGTATTTAAATAATGGGTGACATAGATTTAGATTTTTTTTTTTTTTAGTGCCATGTCAGCATTTAAAGCAATTAAATGGCAAAAATTCAATTACAAAAATACAAATATCATATAAAAAAAAAAAAAAAAAAAAAAAAAAAAAAAAAAAACAGTAAGTCACATTATACAAGATTTTTTTTAATTAACATATGATAAAAAAATCCAAAACCGTTTCAGGCATAATCTTATTATATATGTCCTTAAGTGAAGTAACTTCATAAAAGAGCATTCTGCTTGTATTAAGTCCAGGACAATCCAATAAAATACATTTGACAGAAGGTAATCTTACAAAACAGGGTGACACATAAAATCAGCCTTGTGGAAAGGAGTGTAAGTGAATAACAGGCTTGAAACACTCACCAAGACACTGGGAATGTGCTGCGTCTCAACCAGAAAGAATTTATCATAACGAACGACGGTCTCGAAGAACTCCAGAGTAACAGAGGAATGCTGATACCCGCTCACGCCACAGGAGATGAGCTACACACACACACACACATATCAGAGAACGGTCATCATGATGTAGACCTTACTTTGTGCCCGATTTATTCACTCGTTCTTTCATTGAGAATGTTTACATGCACATCAATATGGTAAAATGGAATTATTATTACTATATCTTTTCTTAAATACTTATTTCACTGTGAAATATTCCAGTAGTAATATTTAATCTGAAATAAAATAAATTTTAGTTGAAAAACTTAATGAAAATTAGAAATAAAAATAAATTGGCAATATTTAAAAAAACAAAACTATTGAAATTATAAAAGCACATAACGAAATTATTTAAAGGTGCAGTGTGTAATTTTTAGCAGCATCTAGTGGTGAGGTTACGAATTGCAACCAACAGAAGTTACGGTGGCCGACAGGAAGTGATGTCGTCGTCTGAGACAGAAGAGAGTAGCCAGTTAAACAGTGAGGTTTCTTTACAAAGATAATTTAAGAAATTAGGTTTGCTTAATTATTCAGTAAAACGATGTTATTGTGAATATTATTGTTACTTGTTCATATTTGTGTCAGTGTTTTATTAACTAACTTTAGTAGCTTCTTATCATGAAGAACAACATAGTGATGTAACGCGCTCTGTAATAGTTTGTCCGTTTAGGGCCACCGTAGAAACAGTGGCGCAAAATTGCTATTTCAATGTAAGGGGTTTATGTAGATAGAAACGGCTCATTCTAAGGTAATAAAAACATAACTGTTCATTATGTAAGGTCTTTATACACCACTGAAACGGTTATTATATTGCATTTCTGTCAACAGATCCTCCTAAATATTACACAATGCACCTTTAAAATGAAACAAATGATTAAAACTAAAATTATAAAAATAAAAGCTAATTTCACAATATGAATACAACTATTATTAAACTAAAATAAAAACTTAAATAACACTGCTACAAGTAAGCACAGCAAACCTGGAGCATCAAAAAAAAAAAAAATGATATATCAGTAAACGTGACTTTCTCCTGTCCGATAACCAGACATCCACGTTCTGTCGGCTACGGTGCGCATGTAAACGTGCTAATTTTCTATTCGCTCAGAACACTCGAGAGAAAAGCGAGGAATGCTGTCTCACCGTCCTCATCATGGCCTGCAGCGTGCTGGTTTTAGCAGTGTCTCCGGAGAAATGCGCTCCATGAGACGCGGGAAGAGCTTCCCCCAGCATATACAGCAGCCTGATGGCCACCTCCACCTCCATGAACTGCACCGTCTGCCAGTTCCTACAAACACACACACACAAATCAATGAACACAAGTCAGGTGATGTCTTTAGATGGGCTTTTAAAGAGCACCTATTCTGCTTTTTTTCATCTTTCTTTAGTGTGTAATGTTGCTGTTTGAGCATGAAAAAGGTTTCAAAGTTATTCTCTATATCAGTGTTTCTGAACTCCCTGAAACGCCTCCATTGTAGTCTTGAGTTTCGTCCGGGAACGAACACGTCACAATATTCCTCATAATAATTCATACGCAGAATAAAGGGGCGGGGCCTGGTTGAGTTATTCAGTAGTGTGTTAAACTGGCGGTTATGGAAAGTGGCGGGACATTTCCCAAACACACTCGAAGCGCTCGACCAATCACAACACACTGATCCAGCCGACAAATCAGAGCACAGTGTGCTTTTCAGAAGGAGGGGCTTCATAGAAACAGGAAGTAAACAGAGCGTTACTGACAGACTGGGAAGAGAGGAGCCGCAACAATGGAGAATATGAGGAAAATAATCAACATTCAAGTAGAAAAACCTGTTCTAGTAGAGAAACAACAACATCAAGACTTTGAAAAAGGACATAATAGATCCTCTTTAAATTTAGGATTTATTAAAGGTCATATGAGTGCAAGTCTGTGATGTCATAACAATGAAGACTTCAGAACAACCCGTTTTGCAGGTTCTTAAGAGTCAAGAGGAAGCTTGAAAAGGAACAAAACTAACAAGGAAAACAGTTTTCTCTGATATTTCCATATCAGTGTGTAGTGCAGGTTCATGTCTTACTGCATGGTGGCGTTGAAGACTCTGTGCACAGACTCCAGCAGAAGCTCAGGAGAGACTTGAGCCAATCGATCCAGCAACATCTTCAACTGTTTCCTGTATTCGACAAACATGGCCTCATCCTCGCCCTGAGAGAAGCAAACCTATATTTATATACAGACAACAATTTATATAATTGGGCTGCAAGATGTTTCTAAATAAACCCGAAATCGCAATATCGCTCAGTAGGACTGTCAAAATGGCTGAAAAGCTAAATTTGAATTTTTTTCTTAAAGCAACACCAAGTTACTTTTCCTCTACGGTCGCCCTACGGGTTGGAAGCGGACTTGTCCATTACCGCTGTCGTAAATAATTTAGCCTAGCGCAGCCTACTGTCGCACACACACTCGCTGTTTATCCAGCACCGGCTTTGGAATGAACGATGTCCACAGGCAAGGTAGAGTATGTTGCATGATTTCATGAAAGTATGATGTATTGCGACATCAGAAACGAAGAAAAACTAAATAATGACTATTGTAACACTTGACGTAAAGCAAGTCAAATTTGTAGTTTTCTAATGTCTCATTAGAACTACAGAAACCCGACCCGATCTGGCAATCTTACATAGCGTGGTTATAGCAGATATAGGACCGCAAAGCGGAGGCATAAGTGCCTTTCACCCTGTTACGACTTGATGAACCACTGAAACCATTTTGGAAACATTATTTTAAGGTAAAAAATCTTACTAAGTGTTGCTTTAAATATTGGCAAAATTCAAATTATATTCGATTTCTAAAGGCAATACACGTGTTACAGGGAAAAAAGTACTGTATTGTCTCCTATGCCCACAACAGGGCGCAAATTTAAACCAAATCAAGCATCACATCTTTTATTGAAATGACATTCACTTTTTAGAGTGCATTACCTTTTGAAAACAATTGTTCTTAAATAAAATATAATTTCCTTAATGTGCATGCAAGGAAAATTAGGTTACAATAGTGCATAAAACTGTAAGTGCATCAGTAACTGAGAAAACGGGGTATAAAAAATGGATAAGCTAACAAAAACAAACCGCTTTAGTTACATCATCATGTCTCGCGCGCCTCGTGACACCAAAAATTTGAATGCACGGTTTTTGCATTCAAATGTGCATGTTTTTTTTTTTTTATTCAACGAATATTCGAAATTCGAATTTTTATTTGACAGCCCTATGGCTTAGTGTGATTATCAAATCGCAAAAGCTGGAATTGAATTAAATACATAATCTGGGAACGCAACACTCGCCACTGTAAACACGGTGTTGTCACCACAAACACTGTACATGCATATTTCCAAAGCACGCTAAGAACAGATCAGACTTTTCCACACTGACCTCATTCTCGAAGTTATACTCGTCATCGTACTTGAGTTTGTTCATCACAGCCAGCATGATCCTCTGTTAGCAAGACAACAACAATCATAAACGACAGCACTAATCAACACTAATGACGCTGTTATATGAGCCTGTGATGCTGCCGTACCTCCACGTTGCTCTTCTGCTGCTCATTGAGAGCTGGGAGCTGAAAAACACAAACAAAAAAAAGTTAAACATGAGGTTCAAGGCAAAAAAAAAATCTCAATTAATCATTTTTTAACATGTGGTCGATTCTTAAAGGCCACAAATCGATATTTTCCCATATCTATCACCCAGAAGCCAGTATTAGTTACACTGTTCATAGGCTTGCAGCCTCCATGTTACAGCTAATGCTGTGAGATTTCATGTTTGTTTAATCTTAAACACAACCTGATCCGGTTTGATCTTTTGTCCAATTTTCAGCATCAATTTGTCATCTTGCATCAAAATCCTGTCTATTCATTGCAAGCATTTGAAATATAGAGTTGGGTTCTGTTTTAATGTACACAAGTGTACCTAAAATAAACAGGTTTAATATACAGGTTTGTGGCTCTTAATTTGTTTTTATTAATAAACCATTTGTAAACTTATGTTCACTGTTCTTTTTTTATAAATATAGGATTTGTATTAAATCTATTCATCGAGTCGAATCAAGAATCGAATCGATACCCAGCCCTAGTGTAGATCATCTTATAATATTGTGTTATGATTATGCGTGTGTACCTGTTTGAGCACATGCAGGTAGTCGTAACAGAAGCCCACGATGTTGGCTGATATATCGTCGTCTTCATGAATTAGCAGCTGGAGCATCAGGGGAACCTTTGACTCCACGGCATGCAGTGTTTCCGCAGAAACCTTCAAATCCGTCTTACTGAGTTTAGTCCAGCTTAGCACCAGAGACTGACCCATCCCGTTCACCAACCGAGAAAACTTGGCCAGAAAATCCACATCCTCCTCCTGATACACACAGATATGACAAAACAAAGATGATGAATCAATTCTTGAATCATATGCAACCATATATACTGAATATATAACGATTAGTGCGATTGTCTAACCATGCAGATTGCAATTTATTTAAATAAATATATGCGCTATCGGTTTCAAAGTGAAGCGTGGCACTAAAATAAAATAAAAGCTTGATGGTTTAACATCTGAAAATTAAGAAATTAAAGTGTAGATTTATAGTCCTATAAAATTTATATTCCAATACATTTCTTTTACAATACATTTTATTTGTAATGCACTTTTTTACAAAGCAAAAACAATTCAATATCAATATAAAATTATTATTTTATTGTACACAAAATAAGAAACATATTGTAATAATGGTAACACTTTACATTAAGTTCCCAGTTAATGAATGCATTAACTAGCAATAAGCCGTACAATATTTAATCATATTTCTTAATGCAAGTTAATAAAAATAAAGCAGTTCATAATTCAGATCCATTAAATATTAACAGTTGCAACTATAATATATTTCTATATTTAATAATATATTTGTACATGCTAAAATTAACATTAACTAAGATTGATAAATGATTTAGAAGTATTTTTCATTGCTTATTGTAAAGTGTTACCATAATAATATTATTGTAATGTAGAATAAAAAATGTATATTATATTACAGAAAAACTAAATGTCTGTTTTTCCCAATATCGTTCAGCCCTACCGAGAAACACAGTTTCCAGTTTACTCTCTGAAAGCAACATTACAACCGAAGATATGAGACTTAAATCAGTTGCTCATGACGGTTGTATTGATGATGTATTTGCACACCTGCTCGACATTGAAGAACCCTGCGGACTGCAGCACCTGACACAGAGACTCCACCAGTTTGGTTTTGTCGACAGGATCCATGCCCTTATTGATGATCTCAAACAGACAATCGCACGCCTCCTCCCGCAGCTCCTCCATGGACATGTGGCTGAGCAACAGATTCACAAACCTACAAACACACACACACTCATATAAACAGACAAGTAGCTGCATTTTCATCAAAAAGAAAGTCATTAGAGACGATTTATTTGAGCGAGATACACATGTATTAGTGGTCAACGGATGTATCAGCCTTTATGTTCCTTTTAATGTTGTTTATGTGTCTATGTGGTGTTTTTAATATGCTTTAAGACACACCATGTGTAAGTTCATAAGTCGACAGCATTGCTGAGTATTTTCTGCTTAAAACTGCAGTGAACCAAAGACAGTCTCAAAAACACGGTTTGAAATCGCTGGTGTTTCTGACGTCACAAACGAGCTTGTAACCAATCAGATCAACGTGTGATCGTCAACCAGTGGATCTCTGAGCTGAGTGAGTGGAGGCGGGGCTCATTTGCATATTCATAGAACCACGTATACTAAATTAAGCAAGGGTGTCGAGTTACATTCAAGATATTTTAAGGCATGAAGAATGTTTTTTAAGGAAAAAACTTTTAAATGTCATTTTGGTGATCAAAGATGATAAAATGATTGACTACAGGGGGACTTTAAATATCACCATCGGCCGATAAGTTATTCTGTGTAAATGTGTCTAAAGTGGGACTTTTATTTTGAAAGCGCGGATGCCAGAATACTGATTAGTCAGTCACAACATTCCAAGGTGCATTATTCTATGGTAACCGTCGTCAATAGCAACCCTCAATATAACATACCGCCCAGTCTGCACTTCTTTCATGTCTCTCTTTACTTTACACATCGGCCACCATACTTTAAAACATCTGCCTTTTCATCAAAATCTCATCAAAAAATCAATATGTATGAGGTTCATCAGAGCTGCTCTGACCTGTCGTTGGCGATGAGGTTGAGGTCGATCCAGGACACGTACGCGCCCACCACCTCCAGACACTGGCAGGTCAGCTCGCTGTGTGTGTGCTGGTACGTCTGAAGGATCTGGAACCAGGACTCCACCAGCGCCGGGATGCACTGCTCACGCATGCCGTCTTTAATCAGAGTATTTCTGCGAGTCTCCTAGGATAGAGAGAGAGAGATTAATGTGTGAATGAATGGTGAAGACGCGCGGTTTCATTTACCACACACACGACGCTCGCTGTGTTTTAAGCCTCTTCTGCCTCATTATATGGAGATGAATGCATGAACTTCATCTCCAGAGCCGCTCTGACAGTCACTTCATTAGCATTTTACGGTTTCATTTGAGGAAAATTATCATTCGTCATAAAACACACAGAAACTCAAAGGTCTTTACGGCAACCCGTCAAAATAAAAGTCTGGTTTAACTTGACAGAAATATATACGGTTGTACAGTAGATTTTAGACACATCTCAATGTAATAATTATACTAAACACTAATAATAATTAGTGTCATAATAATAATAAATTATCAGAACTTTAATTTAAGGAATAAAAAATATATATATGTTTCATTTTAACAGTAAAGCTCATTTGTGCAGCATGTTGTTTGACCAAAAAAAAAAGTTTAATTTCATATGATTAAAAGATTAAATTAAATTAATGTTTTATGTCTTAATTTTATTACCAGAAAACACACAATATTTCATAGAAATTAAAATTAAAAAACAAAACATTAAAATTGTTGTTTTTATGAATTTAACTAATTAGACATGCTTTTTATTTAAATTGAATTAAACCATTAAAATGAAGTCCAGAAAACTGAAAACACAGAATTTGGTAAAAAAATAAAACGGAATTTAAAAAAAAAAAAACACATATTTTTTAGGGCCCTAAACATGTAATTTTTCTTAAACTTTTAATAAATTGTTGTTAAATTGTTTAAGTTTCATGATCAAATTTGTTTTATTTGATTTATTTATAATGGAGTCCCAAAAAAAACAAATCCAGTACATTTTAAATGGAAAAATACGGAATTTGGGAAAAAATAAACCTGATTTCATAAGGCCCTAAGAATGCAAAGATGTTTGGGCCTGTTTTACCTCCGGGCTGTGCAGGATGTCCCGATCGACCACCTCAGCATCGATGGCCATCAGCATCCGCAGGTAAATGTCCACACCGTTCGGATTCAGTCCCACCAGAGCGAGGATGTCAAAGAAGAACTTGGGCCAGAAAGTCAGATACTCCATCACAAACGTCAGGGCCAAAACCTGCGCCGCCTTGTTCCTGATGAAGGGCTTCTCTGGATGCAAATTCATCAGCTGGACAAAAGCACCAACACACAGAGATGTAATCATATCTCAATGATTACGCATTCATACACACATGAATATCAATCAAAAGGCAAACAGCACTAACCTGAGCCTGCAACCACTTCATCAGGGTCTCTCGGATCAGCTGCTGTTGAGCCGCGGAGAGCGACCCGTGTCTGCAAAACACACAGCGTTTAACGCCATACATTGATATTTTGTGTACTTTTTAATGATAGAAGCCATGTGCAGGAGAATAGATCATAAACTGAAATACGTTGAAGCACTAAAATTATTACCTGGAAATAAATTCAAACAAAAATAAATGAAACATAAATAGCAATATTAAAAAAAAGATATACATAAAAATGAAATTACTAAAATATTAAACCAAACAAAAATATAAAATGTAAGCCAATTCAAAATATTAATAAAAATAGAATAGCACTGACCAGAACCAAAAGGACCAGATCTAATTGTTTGTTTAGTGCTAAATTTGTTAAGTAATGTTTAGTAAGTGACCGACACAATCTCCCTCCAAATATGTATCATTCTTAAACAGTAGCAAACTAATATTTATGCGTTATGGGTCTAAAGTCGGCATAAGTTGTATTAATCTATTCTCTGAATGCATGTTATAATCAACATGAATCTTGATTTGTTGTATACTGTGCAGTTGTGCTGTTGATGACGTCAATTTTAGTTTTTACATTCTTATATTATTGTGCTGCTGTAATGTGTGAATTTAATAAAGACTATGTAATCTAATATAGATCTTATTGTTAAAACGATTTATCCATGTATACATTTTTTAAATGTTTGACCTGGAAATGTTTAATCAAAATGTAATTTTCTTCCAGCGAAAACGACAGACTGATGACGTATGTTGGATCGTCCAATCATTAAGTCTGCTTAAACTCCGCCCCTGCCAGCTCAAGCTCCGCCCCTGCCAGCTCACACTCATCTGCATACACTCGAGTGCCACGCCCACATCTCAACATCCAATCAACAACCGATACAGAGAAGCAAAACCCCACCCTACATTTTTTCTCTCAATACAGAACATCTGTCGCTACTTCGGTTTCAGTGTGACTTTAATGTACCACCACACTATGATACAAATTCAAAAATTTCTAACACAAATATTAATGCAAATACATGCAAAAGATTCACTGATACCTGAATTTGATCTGGTGCTCCAAGACTTGAAAGCAGAAGAACTTCACATGATCGTCACTGACAAAAGAACACATTCACGTCAAACTCAATATTATTAAAGGGACACTCCACTTTTTTTGGAAATAGGCTCATTTTACAACTCCCTCAGAGTTAAACTGTTGAGTTTTACCGTTTTTTAATCCATTCAGCCGATCTCCGGTTCTGGCGGTACCACTTTTAGCATACATCACTGAAGTGGACAAGACCATTAGCATTTCTCATAAAAAAAATGACCAAAGAGTTTCGATATTTTTCCTATTTAAAACTCGACTCTTCTGTAGTTACATCGTGCACTAAGACCGACGGAAAATGTAAAGTTGCGATTTTCTAGGCTGATATGGCTAGGAACTATACTCTCATTCCTGCGTAATAATCAAGAAACTTCACTGCCGTACCATGAGTGCAGTAGGCGTAATGATATGACGCAGCTGGGGACTATTTTCAGGCGCTGCGTCATATCATTACGCCTACTATCATTACAACTCTGGGGGAGTTGTAAAATGAGCCTATTTCCAAAAAAAGTGGAGTATCCCTTTAAATGAAGAATATCAGTATTCCTCTACTACATTATGGCATTAATACTATATATTACAGCAGGCTTTGCTGCACCTGCTCACCTGTAAACCCCTTTAACCAGGGCTTCAGCACACACCTCCCATCCATCCCGAGACTCTTTCAACTGCTCAAAATATGCCAGCGCCTGAAAGCACACAGAAAACATGAGGGTTTTTCTTACTCAATGGATGCACTGCACTCATTTGCAAATTCCAAAGTTGGATATGCAATATATGTAAACAGACACACACCAAATAGTCTGTGTAAATTAATGAATTTAAGAGCACCTATTATGCTCCCCCCCCCCCCATCTTCATCTGTCTATAGTGTGAAATGTTGCTGTTTAAGCATGAAAAAGCTCCAGTTATTTTCTATATCAGTGTTTCTGAACTCCTGAAACGCCTCCATTGTAGTCTTGAGGTTCTTCCGGGAACGAACACGTCACAATATTCCTCATTATAATTCATACGCAGAATAAAGGGGCGGGGCCTGGTTGAGTTAGTAGTGTGTTAAACTGGTGGTTATGGAAAGGGGTGGGACATTTTCCAAACACACTCGAAGCAATCACAACACACTGATCCAGCCGACCAATCAGAGCACAGTGTGCTTTTCAGAAGGAGAGGCTTCATAGAGACAGGAAGTAAACAGAGCGTTACTGACAGACTGGGAAGAGAGGAGACGCAACAATGGAGAATATGAGGAAAATAATCAACATTCAAGCAGGAAAACCTGTTCTAGTAGAGAAACAACATGAAGGCATAATAGGTCCTCTTTAAGTGTATATATGTTTACTGTAGTGTTTAGTTCTTCTCACCCTCTGCCGGTAACAGGCATCAGCGTTGGGGTTCAGTCCCATGAGGGCCTGCTCGTCCATGATGGCAGGTAACGCCGACTCGCAGGCCATATGTGGGTTAGCTGCTGTCCTTGATCAGTTTATTCCCAATCTCCGCACAGGACACACACATCTGAGTGAGAGACATGCATACAAACATGAGTCAGACTGAAATATCTTACAGTACACACAATACAAACACCATAATATAAAGTCAGATCTTAGACAAAACAGTGGTTGATGATATACTGGTAATATAACCAGAGAGCAGGGTGACCAATGACTGATACAATGCTGAAATATACAATACAACACACTTTTTATACAATATGTACTTAACCAAAGAAAAAGAAGAGAGAATTTGTACATTACACTAGTTCATACATACACAACTGCAGTACATTTTATCGCAACTTAATTTAATTGTGTTCAGTCCACTTAAATATGTTGAACTGAAGTTCACTTTTACTCATTTGAGTTGAGACTACATGAATCATTGCATTAACTGAAACTGCATTGGTGGATCTTTGATGATAAGTTAATAACTAATCAAATGAATGAAGTTTGTGCTTATTCGCTTTGTTCAGTTTACTTATTTAAGTGGATTTTGTACTAAATTATATGTGTGAGGTTTACCAAATCAGAGTTTAGAACTGTATACATTTTACTTTTTAATGTGATCTTATACCATAGTAATTACATGGTACTTGAAAGAATAATAAAAGTTAATGAGGTGAACATGACCATTTCAGGTCACACATTCACATTCAAAGTTAATACTTAATGAAAATATATTATCTTTAATAAATCTATTTGATTATGCAATTCAACGTCAATATTTACTGAACATTAAATAACCTCACCAGAGCAATAACAACAGATAAATGACCAAACACACACACACTGAATCAGCACTTTCATTCTCTTTCACTGTGTGTACTTTAAAATGTAATTGTACAAATGTGCGTTATGATTTTAGGACGTGGCACCAAGTTATTCTGACATATATACCATGGTATTTCTATGGTATTGTTAGAATGTAACTTCTATGGTAGTCCATTACCTGACAGCACCTCTGTAACTACTTTTTCTGATGCAACACGGGCCCAATAGTGAGTTAAATCAAAGCCATATGATCCACTAACCCAAAGCACTATACGATTTTCACTACACAATTAGATTTACCTCAGATATTGACATTTGTAATTATTATTGTATCATCAAAATAACAGTTTAATTTCTGCGCGCTCGCGTTGCTAACCGACAAGCGTGTCACGCGCGTGCCGAATCTCAGCGAACGTGGCGTGACAAGACTGAGAAAACACGTCGAAATAACGACAAACCTCCGTTGTACAACAAAACCGACTCTCACATGTGTGGTGTTAAATCACACGCGCGCGTAGTTTAATGAGTTATCGGCTTAATTGGTGGTGGATAAGAGTTGTTGTGAACGTGATGATGACAGACGGCTCGCGCAGCAGCAGCACCACCATCCGCGCGCGCTGTCAGACAAAAGACTCGCGCGTAACTTACATCCAAATGAATAAAACATGCCGCGACCGTGTAAATGTACGGATATGGTTGAGGTTAACTTACCGCACCTTACCGTGAACTTTACCGCTCCATCATCATCCGCCCTGCTCAAGTGACTCAGTGCGCATGCTATATTCAACAGCGGCGTGTCGGGCCGACCGGATGTGACGGGGACAAGAACAGGAAGAACTTCAGGACGTAGACGCGCACGTGCAAGCACACTTTACGTGTGTAGATGAGGATATGTCATTTATATAACGAATTAACAATAAAATAAAACGTTTTGTAATATATATATATATATATATATATATATATATATATATATATATATATATATATATATATATATACACGATTAAAATAAGTACAAATTATATTAAATATATAATAAATATATAAATTGGGTCTAATATACATACATTTTGGGATGGGGGTCCCTCAGCCTTTGGGGGTCTGTGTCACAGACATATAAAATGTAACATATAAAACACATTAAAATTGTATTTATTATGTCTATGGTCTGTGGTCTCTAAAAGATTGAAAACCCCTGCGCTAGATAATAAACCTTTTATGTTTATTTCTTTCCACTAGAGGACACTGTTCACCAACTAACGAGACGCGACCGTTACATTCTAATATTGGGTAATGTTAGTGACAGACCCGAACTAACGTGGAATACACTAAAAGGTACACCTTATTTACCTCTTAAGTTGCATATTATTACCTTAAAGCACCTTAAAGTTACATATTAGTTGCTACCATTTGAAAGGTTACTGTCCCAGTGGCAGCTTTTGTACCTTTTTTTCTAAGAGTGAAGACTCACTGAAACCGTTTGACAGATGCGTTCAAACAGGAAGTAGAATGGTTCATACTCCTATTTTATAAAGACCCGATGAAATCAAAATCAAGGTTTTTTTTGGCTTTTAGGATGAATATGTTAGTCTTACTGTTATCTATAAGTTAGTGTGCTCCAAAACAACGACAAAATTCGCATTTAGAAGATATAAGCATTCAAAACTTAAGTCACTTCCACAAATATGGATCAATGATTTGATGACATCACACATCAGATTTCCTGTCCAATCAAATGCTCTCTAAAATCTAAAGTATCCCTCCCTACATTATAAATAGATGGTGAAGCTAGGGCTAAGATCAGTCACTTGTTCACACAACTATTTTTATATGGTGAATGGCACATAGTGCACTACATAGGGGCTAGGGAACGATTCAGATATGTAAATATGCTTTCCACTGGGGCGAATGAAGTCTGGTTTCTCGTTAGTGTCCAGAGACAGGACAGCACAGAGTGGATCATATGATCGAGTGGACGCAGGCCACAATACGTATTGGATCCTTTAAAGGTGCCATGTGGAATGTCTGCCAAAAAAATTCATACTCCACATATTCCATACCAGATGGGGGCAGTATACTTCCAGAAAGTAGGCCTACTCTAGTCTGTTTTTTAGTTTCGGGTTGTTAATCTTCTAAAACCGTCAAATCGTCCGCTTTGTCCCGCCAAAGCCTATTTTGATCGGTGAGTGATGTAGAATATAATGACTGCTGCGCTTGACAGGGCTTATAACGAGCAGAGAGAGAGAGCGCCCCGGCCGCGCGCGCGCACTCTCACGTCTTCAAACAACACGAGCGCAGTCCTCCTGCTCTCTCTCTCCCTCGCGCATATTAATCAAATCAATTGACGATAGTAAGACCGCAGTTCGTTTGGAGATTTTTAGAGATTAGAGACTCAATGAACAACATCTCAACACTAAATTATAAAGGCCGGTCTCATATAGACGCGATTGACATCAGGTTCAAGTACGCCCACAAGCCGTGCGAGTTATTCGTGTACTGCAGTTTGGCTGGTGGTTATGTATGTTGCCCGCATACCGCCTCCCATGGCCGAAACTGGTATTACGACACCAGTCGGGCCGGCGCTAGTAATTTAGCATGCTAATTTAGGTTTATATCTCGGCAGCACTATAACTTGTCAATTTTTTAATGACATCATTGCACTTATTTCTTCTCATTCTTTTGATGCGTGTAGCTCATTTTTTGGATAATTTTACCTCAATTTTTACATAGGGCACCTTTAAATTCTGCACAGAATGCTGTATTTTAAAGCGATATGGAGATTAGGAGAAGAAACTTTAGAGATTATGAGGAAACTGCGGCCTTATCGATCTCAACGGCTCTGTAATAAACCAAACAGCTGTAATAAACCAAACGGCTTTTTAAAAAAAGGGGGAGGAGCTGTTCGATATGCCACGCCTGTGATATTTTTTCCCCCCAGGATGGTAGGGGAAGACTCATGAATATTCATTAGGGAACTCATCCCTGATTGGTCTGATGACCTACCCCTAACCCCGCCCCTACCAGTCACTGGGGTTAAGACCAATCAGGGATGAGTTCCCTAATGAATATTCATGAGTCTTCCCCAACCATCCTGGGGAAAAAAAATTCGGGTGCGCCCCGCCCTGTCTTCCTGTTTCAGTGGAAATTACGTCTTTACACTGAATAATGCGGCTCATTTCAAGGCACTTTATTGGGCCTTTAATTATTAGGCTATTATTTTTATTTATTTATTGCGATTTTTGCTTTATTTTTACAGGACAGGTGGTGGACGCACATCCTCAAATATACTCATAAAGTAGAGAAGATTCCCATAATAGAAATACTTATTTAACGTTTTTTTTAAGGTCAAGAAACGGACAAAAGGTAAAAAAAAATGTATGTCATGGGGTCAATATCAGTTTTATTCTTTATTATATTCACAGCACGTAGACTATTCAATATGAGCAGATTAGAGTTGGGAGGTATTTTCTTAATATCCAACAAGAGCAACAATCACACATTTGAGGGTTGAAAAACTCCTCTGTTTGAACTGCTTTAGCGGCTCTGAAAATCACACTCGGCTCTCTTTGTTATTAAAAGATTCGAGGCCGGGGTTTAAAACACGGTCCTGAGAGCCAAAGCCCGTTTTTTTGCTCCTCTCTGTCGGCGGCCGGCCTGTTAGTGTTTGTTTAAACGGAAAGCTTTTTCCTCACAATCCATGGAACCGTGTTAAAAAGCAAAAGGCACTACCTCATTTTTGTCCGAGGCACTACTTTACCTCACAGGGTGTTTAAGACCGTTGCGCGCAGGTACAGAGCCGTTGGCTTGGCAAGGAAATCCTCTGAACCAATAATCCTAGGTAATTTTCATGGCTCGGCAGCAAACGCCCATCTAAATTGTACAGATGTTTCCCACGCTTGAGGCCCGATTGATTTCTCTGCCGGAGGAGGTAATTGTCCGATCCAGTTCGCTCGGACAGCCCGAGCCCCGAACTACCTCGAGTTTTTAAAATTTCTTCTTCACTGCTACTAGAAGTACAAACCGCAGCGCGACGGTTGCAATTACTCCGCTGAATGTGAAAATCAGCCTTTGGTTCGAGCTGTAATTAGGTCAATTAAACACACACATCGTCCCCTGAAGACTTAAGAAAAACACGTCCATTCTTTATAGTTTAAGTGTGTTTGACGATATGCTTTCTTTCCCTGCAGAACATCAAAGAAACACTCAGACTTTCCGCCATTACGGCTCCATTCTCTGTCTGTCTTGTTCCCAGTTCCTACACGCTGATAGAGTTTTACAGGTGGGGTTTCATTCTCGTTTGATTATTTATCCTGCTTTTCCTCCAGGAGGAACCACAGAAGTCCTGCCAGCTGTGACCCGCCTGTCACAACAGCACTGTAAAAAAATATATGATCAATCAGTTATGACCGCATATTACATTGCTTTAACTCATCAGGTTAAGCAATTTTCAACTTTTTTTTTTATAAGTTATACAAGATTCAACTCTTTTTAAGCCGGTTTAATGTAATTTAAGTTGAATTATTTAAACATCCAAGTTGATTGTACTAGGCTACTTAATATTTTTAAGGCAGTAACTATTTTTTTTACAGTGAGGTGATTATTAGTCTGAAAAGCTTTGAAATCAGCTCACCTCCTTCACTGAGTTCTAGTACATTTAGTCATTCACTAGATTTGTGTGCTGGATTTTGTTTCGGAGTTGTTGGAAAATGCTCAGAAGACAGTAGAAACTTGTTTCCACCATGGAATAAAAAAGGTTTTTATATCACAATTCGCATTTGCGAGTTTACATCTAAAAAGTTTGACTATTAACTTACAATTGTGAGTCTATCTATATCACTCAATTCTGAGAAAAAAAAATCTGAATTGCGAGTTATAAAATCTGAATTGCGAGATATAAACTCGCAAATGCAAGAAAAATGTCAGAATTGTGATGTAAAAAGTTCCTTTTTTTCTTCTGTGCCGGAAACAAGTTTCTATAGTCTTCTAAGCATTTTCCAACAACTCAGAAACAAAATCCAACAAAATTGCAAGTTTATATCTCACAATTCTGGCTTTTCCCCACAGGATCCTGAGTAAAAGTTATGAATTCTGAAAAATAGTCATAATTGCAAGACTTTTTTCTCAGAATTGTGAGATAGCCTATAGGCCTATAATGAAAGTCTGAATTGTGAGGAAAAAGTCAGTTACCTTTTTTATTCTATGGTGGAAACAACAATGAAAAAGCTATTTTGTTTACAGTGTGAGGGTCTATAGTATGAAACTTCAGCAAAAGTCTCAATTTACTCCCCATTTGTATTTAGCTGAATGCAACAGTGTCTTGCTGAATCTTGCTGAAATGTGATAGTCTGATATATTCAGGAGCAAATATGTTTACCGGTAGTTATAAACGGCTTTGAGTGGAGTCGGTGTGGTCTGATCTGTTGGGGGTCACTTTACAGTATGTCGACAACATGCTGACAAATCTGTTATCCTGAAATGATCCCAAAACGAGTAAATAGTTCTTGTAGCCTGTAAAAGCTTGTGTGAGATGAGTGCCGGTGGAAAAGTGGGAAAAAACGACTAAATCCCATAGCGTGAAGCTCCATCCGTACGGCTGATCTCAGCCTTCATTAACTGCTTGTGTGACTTTCATCAAAGGCAAACAAATAAATGTCAGAGAATTTGAATTAATTCCCAGCATGCCAAGTGCCAAAGACCCCCCCCTTTCCCATGGAAAAGTTGAATGTTAATGTTCTGGGAGAGAGAGAGGGACCTGGGTAATGTTCCTGATGTTTTGCAAACCATATTTCGAATGCATTCACTTAAATTTGACATCGCTTTTTGAAGTGTGAAAGTAGTTGCGTAGCCTGTCAACGGAGGGACATAAATCTCTCACAAAAAAATCTTCATTTGAGTTCTGAAGATGAGTTAAGTCTTACAGGTTTGGAACGATTACATCAGAGTAATTAATGACAGAATTTGATTTTTTGTGTGAACTATCCCTTTAAATAGCTACATACAGAGCTTGGCATTAGCATGAATTGGCTTCTACAGCCAGTTTTCAACTAAAGTCATAGCAGAGCAACATTTTTAAGGGAATCTCGCTGAGCAAGTAAGTTAAAGTTGAACTGTTGACATGTTTATAGTGGCTACATGAAAAATAACACATCTGGTTTAACGGTACAAACATTTGAAGGAAACTCTATCGCCCTCTTGAGTGCTGAGGTTTGCTGCCACCACAGTAGCACAAGAACACATTAAGTGCGTTTAAGCGGACTGCCAAGCGTGCGCGTGCTCGCGGAAACTGTGCTTGGCCTTAATCAGCGATTTGTATTTCCACACAAGACTTTTGACAACTTTAGGTCCATGCTGAACTTCAACGGCCACGCGCACGGACTCCAGTTCAAACGCTGTCCGTTCATTACGGCCTGATTTTTCCACATCAGAAGGAAATGGGTAAAATAGAGCCAAACACTCTGCCTTGTTCTTTACTCTGAACCTGAGATACACACAATCAAATATACCACACACACACACACAGAAGTCCAGACACTGCAGGAAAAGTCAGATGTTTAATCATTCAGTACATATTTTTTTCTCTCTCAGTGCAAAACAACAAGAGTTATTCTATAACGTGTGCTGGTCGTGTACAGAAGATCGTTGTGTGGTTGTGACGTCAGCTGTGGCCGATAGGTGGCGCTCTCTCTCTCTCTCTTTACTGATGTGATGAAGTGGGGCTCGTCCAGGTCAGCAGGAAAGAAACCCAAGATAAACATATAGACTATACAAAAGCCCGTCTGCAAACCCTAGTGAGCGGCATCCTAACCTAAATGGCTGATCTGGGAAAAACAGTGGTGTACGCACGCAGGAGACTTTTGAGTTCGACAAGCTGAACAACATAAAATAAATGTACAAATATGGGGTTCCTAATGCATGAATAACATTTCAGTCATCTTCAATCAAAAAATAAATAAATATTCAGGCATAAATGTAAGACGCATTTGAATTGCATATAAAATTTCCATTAATTAGGATTAGTTTCAACATAAACTAATAAACTTAATGTGATGCATATTTGTCAGTCATACATCAATGAACAGGTCAGATTTCTGTGATAATACTAATAAACTGAGTGTGTTTTAAATGCACAATAACTAGGATTATATATATATAAAATCAATAAATCCAATGTTTACTAATTGAATATTTCTTGTTCCACGGCTAGCTGTGTTCATACTTTTTTAAAGCTGCAGTCGGCAAGTGTGGCAGATTGAGTGGACTTTGGCAAAATTTTGAATGTTTACAACTCTCATGCCCCTCCCCCACTATCAACGGATACCCCCCCCCCCCACCGAGTTCGTGCTTGTCAGTGCGTGTGCACCAGGTTATCTGTGACGCGCCCGTCTCATCAGCATCCATCAACACCATGGAGTATTTGGAGGTATGCTGTCCTGGCTAATCTACCGATAGATTGCAATTGCTAACGTCATTTATACTCTAAATGAGCTTACTTGATTTGTTAGTGCAGTGTTTCCGCTACATTCATTCTGCCGTGGCGGGCCGCCACACCTAAAATCATCCCGCCACGGCTGCAGCTTCTCGGTCCGATATTGTATGTGTTATTTTTAAGCCCCACTAAAGGCATACAAAACATTGTAAAGCACCATAAAGTTTCCGCACTATATTCCAAAACTTCTAAAGTCATTCAATAGCATCATGTGAGGTAAAAATGAATATTTAAGTCGTTAAGTTAAAGTTAATGGAAACTCATCCTCGGTCATTCTCCATTCAGCATTCAAACAGCGCGTCGCGTTCGGTTACGACAGTAACACGACGACACTCTCTTCAAGATCAATGTTCCCATTATTATACTTTATTTGTAGATAAAGGTCTATAGTTTGCATACAATTACTTTATCTTGCTGGAGTTTATAGCGCTTTCTAAATCATATTCCTTTCCCCCGGGTGTCTGTTACTACAGCACTAGAGTAGAGAGCACTATGAATTGTTCTCCATGCACACTGTACCTGAAATTTAAAACTGTTAAAAGAAAAGGCTCAATAAACTGTTGCATATATATAATACATTAAGCATACATAGATATAATCTCTTCGCTTTGTGCTTTGAACTTTTCAGTGCGAAGCGCTGCGCGCTGTGACTTTGCGTTGCTTCAAGTGCATCACTCTGCGCACGGGATGCGCATAATCGCTTGCCGCTCTGGTTGGGGCCTTTCATGTAATGCTTAGGGGAGGTTTAAACACCTGGGGTAAGGGGACGTGGCCAATGGGAATATCACTCATGGGCCATGCCCCCTCCCCCTGGCGAAATGGGCCTGCCACCACGGCTGGAAAAAATCCTAGAGGAAACACTGTAGTGTTTTGAAAGCAAGATACATCCGCCATCACTCTTCGTTACTGCGCGAACTTCCGGCGTGTGCATGTGATTGTAACGTGCGCGAGGGGTGGTGTGTGCCCGATCTGTGATTGACAGTCAGATCTCACACCCCCCTGCGCTGATTGGACATGATGAACCGGGAGCTGTGGATTTTTGTAAAACAAATAACAAGCTCCAGGTGGAGTTAGAAGCTCTGGTTTTTTTCTAAAACCACTTTATTTATGTTGTTCTGTCGGATTATAGTGTCGATTTCACTGAATATGATAAAAAAAAAAAATTGCCGACGGCAGCTTTAACTGAATACATTGATTTGTTTTACACAATGAACACATTTATGCTGATTGTGAAAACGGTAAAGTCATGTGTATGCATATTACTTGTTCAGTTTATAGACACGTAGTGTTTCTTTACAGTGACGTCGCCATCTACTGGCCAGACAGCAGAATACAGCTTTAACCTGCTATTTTTAACATTTTATACTCGATTTAACCCAAACCAATATATTTTGTTGGAATAAATGTATTTAGGTTAATGTGTAGGTATAAATGTATTTATAGTTTAAAAAAACTATTCTGGCCAGACAGCAGAATACAGCTTTGTGTTAGACTCACAATTGTGTTTAAACGTCCAATTCTGTCTTTTTTCTCAAAAGTGTGAAAAAATTCAGCAACTCGCAATTCAGACTTTACAACTCGCAATTATGATTTTTTTTTCAGAATTGTGAGGGGAAAAAAACTATATTCTGTCGTCAGGCCAGTAGATGGCGATGTCACTTTGTAAAGAAACATTACGCGTCTAGTCGTTTTAATTTTCATTTTCACGTTTTGGTCTGTACGCGAAAAACTCGAAGGAAAAATGTTTTCATTTTTAGTACATCGTTGTTGTGTAAACGCACCCTAAGTTTATTAGTTTGTTAAAACGGCGTAATCCAAATGAATGGAAGTTTAATATGCAATTCAAATACGTAAATGTACAATTTTTGAGTGTTGGATGTTTGATTTTAGTAAGCTTTCTGTGACTGTCTTGTATGTGAAGGATGCCTTCGGATAGGGAATGAGTCTATGATGCTGTCTAGCTAGGCGGCTCACTAAGTTTTGGGACAGACTCACAGAAACATGGATGCCAAAGCTGATGAACACACAATGAACAGACAGAGAGGTGGGCATGACTATAGTCTTCTTCATTCAACTGAACCACAAAATACGTCCATTAACAAAATGACTTGTATATATTTCTATATTTATATATCTAAAGTGCATTATAGTACAAAAATATAGAAGGTCAGCAGCACCTTGATACCTTTAAAAAATAAATACACCATTCAAACAAAATAAATTACAGGAATTCTGACACCGTAATAGAGGCATAGTCCTAAAAATAAAAAAAGAATAAAAAGGAAAAAGAAACAAAGCAAAGTATTCACAAGGATCCAAATCTGTAGCTCCGTGGAGCTGTAATAATGCTTTAGCAGTTTCGTTATTTGTCATTGTCACTGTTCGGGCGCATTGAGAATATTTACAGACAATAAATATTTTCCTCTCACTTTTACAGTGGACGGTAACATGAGCATTTAGGTGTCCATTTCAAAAGTCCTCGCGGATCTGAAAGAGAAAAGGTACAAAACTGATTTATTGTTCAATAAATATAGTAGATTTTATAGTAAAACAAATACTTAGTAAAAAATAATGCTGTTTGTTATTTAATATATATATATATATATACATTTTTAGATGTATTTAATGTAATGTATGTGTTTTAAAACTGCAATTGTTACCTTAAAGAGCAACTTCTACTTGACTTAACCCATACAAATTAACTTTGTTGGTATGAATTAATGTAGTGAATTAGTGATGTTGAGTAATAATTTTGAGTTGAATAATAAACCATTACCATTTATTTCAATGTAGCAATTAGTTAGTAGCAAATGGTGCGTTCATGTTCATATTTAAATCGTAATTACGACGTTCAAATGACATCTGCAATGTGACCTTTTCTGTATAAAATTAAACGTTTTTTTTTTAAACTTACATAATGAATAAATAATGCACATCGGGCGAGTTTCTGATTGAGTAAATTGAATCGTTATGTAACTGCAAAAAACGGTAACCTGCAATTTTTAACATTTTATACTCGATTTAACCCAAAACAATTTATTTTGTTGGTATAAATGTATTTAGGTTAATTCAGCAATATTTAATAATATTTTCGACTTGAATAAAACCAGTTAATTTAGATTTTCAGTGTATGGGATTCTGTACATGCAACTTAAGATCGTTTTATTGTAAATAAATTAATTTGAACAAATGTACCATTAATACAGATGCTGCATCCACTTTTCTTAATGACTCCTGAAACAATCGTAATTATGATTTTGTGGTTAAACTCAAATATCCGACATGACTTGAACGCACCATGTACTTCTAATAGGGGTGTAACAACAATATATCGTGTCACAATATATCACAATACAAACATGCAACAATATGTATCGTGGATAGTTCACCCAAAATAAAAATTACTGTGTGAGAAAAATTCTAGTTTTCAGAGTTTTAGTGTCAGCACTACATTAAACTACTATATATAATGTTGAATATAATGTATAATAATGCATATTTGTGTGTCCTGATAATGCCAAATGTCTGGTTATTAGTAAAAGTGGCCTATACATTATTTTAAATATATCTAGTCAGTGAAAGAGTGCAAGCATTCGTCTAAAATAATGATATTTTCAGCTTCAGGATCATGAATATTGTTATTGTGGTGTCTCTATTGTTCATTGGGTTTCCAGCATCAAGTCTATTCATTTACACACACAATGTAATATCAAATTTAGCTTTTATCATGTGTCTTTGAGTATGGCGATAATACGAGTTGTATCGAATCGTGACATGAGAGTCTCGTTACACCCCTAAAGATGAGTATCTTATCAGAGAACACATAACGTACCGTTGTCAAAGACTGACAGTGTTTTAGTGCATCGCCCACTCCAGGTGGAAGCCGCTGCCGAACTCTTCCAGTGAACGAGCCCTTCTCTTCCTCTTCTCCCCATCTCTCCTCTTCCCCACTCTTCCTTTCTTCTTCCTCTTCCCGATGGCCTTCATCGTGCTCTCCTTGTACGTTTGTGACTTGTTGGTTTCTTGCGGGAGGTTTGTTCCCTCCTCGTCCTCCAGACGGAAGCTGATCGGCAGATTCTTGGTGCCGCCGGCCGGTTTCGGATGGGCGGTTCCCGTTCCCATGGAGACGCCGACTCCCATCGGCACGGCGACGGTGAAGCCGCCTCCCCCTCCGCTGCTGACTCCGCCCCTCGGCTGCTGAGCCTCGCGGACCTCAGCCGTATGAACTTCATGAAGAAGCTCCTGAAGCCACAAGCGTCTCTTAAAGTCTTGCAGCGTCCGGCCCTTATCGTGCATCAGCTGAGCGTGTGTTACCGAACGCTTGCTGGTGGAGAGAAGACCGAGACACAAGTCAGAATTATTAATAACTTTTATTTATAGGCGCCCTTCAATGCACTCAAGGATCAACATAAAAGTAGATCAGTAAAATACAAAGCTATGCAAAAGGACAGACAAACAGATCAAACATGCAATCATCAAATCACTAAAAGCTTTTCTAAACAGATACGAGCTTTAAAAACAGAATTAGCATTGGTCACATTTACCTGTCACTCAAAAATAAAAGCTTTTCACAATCCAATCAATTCCCAATTATATATGCCGTTTTCAAGTAAAATGGAAAACATGATGTTGTTCCTCAGTGTTTCTGTCTTGTTTTCCAGCACAAATATCTAAACATTCTTAAATCAAGACACAGTTACTGGAGAAGCCAAATATGGAAGCTTGTTTCCGCAACTGAATAAAAAAATAAAATTGCGACTTTTTATCTCACAAATGCGAGATATGAAGTCAGAATTGTGAAAAATAAAGTTGCAATTGCGAGAAAAAAAGACAAAATTGAGACTTTTTATCTCGCAATTCTGACTTTATTTCTCACAATTGCGACTTTATTTCTCAGAATTGCGAGATATAAAGTCAGAATTGTGAGATATGTCAGAATTGTGAGATATAAACTAGCAATTGCGAGTTATCAGGCCAATTCTAAGGAAAAAAAGACTGACTTTTTTCCCCTCAGAATAGTTTATATCTCACAATTCTGACTTTACAACACACAATTTCGACTTTATATCAATCAATTCTGACTATATCTCGCAATTCTCACTTTATAACACGCTATTGCGACTTTATATCACGCAATTCTGACTTTATATCTCGCAATTCTGACTTTATATCACGCAATTCTGACTTTATATCTCGCAATTGTGAGAAATAAAGTCAGAATTGCAAGATGTAAACTCGCAATTGTGAGAAAAAAAGTCAGAATTGTGAGATAAAAAGTCGCAATTACCTTTTTTATTTTTCATTCTGTAGCGGAAACAAGCTTCCATATCAAAATGACTGAAGATATTACTGAAAATTTATTACAAATTTAGTGAGTTTGTGCTTAAAACAAGAACAAATATCTGCCAACGGGGTCAGAAAAATAAACTCCGTTCAAAGGGAAAACAAGATTATTTTTGTGACCCCATTGGCAGATATTTTTTTATATTTTAAATAGAAAACAAGACAAAAAAAAATGTTTTGCAGTGTAACATGTTGACTTTTTTCTTTACATTTTCCTTTAACACAAAATAAACAACCTGCCAAATGATCAATGGAATGTGAAAACTATCAACAGAAAGAAAATCTAAATAAATTGCAGTTCACTCAAAAATTAATAATAAATTATACACATACACACATTATTGTTTAGGCATAAGATTTAGTGCCTAATCAAGATTACAATGATCAAGTCAAGCTTGCAGTAAACTCAGTGCACCACACACACTTTACAGCACATGTGTTTGACCCCGTGACCTCAGCATTACTAACTGAATGTGTGTGTAAATCAGTTTCTCAGGCCTCCCACATCGATCTGAGTCTCTTCTAGAGAGAATTCTGTTTCCCACGCAAATATTTCAATGTTTCTAATTGCTGCAATCCCATTACCACTACATGTACTCACACACACACACACACACACACACACGCACACACACACACACACACACACACACACACACACACACACACAGTCACAAGCACTCACTCTCTCTAACACACACACACACACACAGATACACAATCTGACATGGTGCCTTCAACCCAAATCCACTGGTTGATCAGTGAGAGTTTGTTCTGTCGCTCCTGTTCAATGTGTTTTTAGTTTAATCCAGGAGTTTGAGAAGGTCTGGTGCAGATCCAACACCTTGCTGGAGCTCCGAGGTCCCACATCCCAGATCCCACATCCCAGATCCCACATCCCACATCCCAGATCCCACATCCCAGATCTCGCATCCCAGATCCCGCATCCCAGATCTCAGAACCCAGATCTCGCATCCCAGATCCCACATCCCAG